GCATAGTCATCCTACCCCAATGCCCATATGCAACTCCGCCACTCTCCCACTTTGGCAGAACCCGTCCCTTTAGTCGACCACTCGACCTTTGCATCTTATACTTGGCCTTCTAGAAATTTTAGCCACCGCCTGACACTTCCCACATGCTTTTCCTCATCCTTTACTGCTCAGCTGCTGTCTTAAATAAAGATCTATCTTCGTGGCACTTGAACCCACAATTGTTGCTAACCTTACACCTTTCGGAAGATCATCTTTCTCATACCGTCGAAATTAGAAACACTGATTCAACCCTGAACTACCGCACCCTGCGATATCTGACACCCGCATCTTCGATACTATCTCACAATAGTTTGCCCCAAAGGCGAATTGTAGAAGATCATAACACCGACGAACTTAGTGCGTTCAATTAGGACAACGACACCCCATCATAGAAGAAAGCTCCACCACGCTTGCAAATACCAAGTCTCATTACTTCACCAGCCTTTATCTGACCATTCTTAGTCCGATTGCCATTCCCCCACCGGAAGTAAAATACTGAATCTCTGAATCACGCACTGAGTAAACTTCGCTTCAAGTCATTCACTGTCCCTACATATAGACAAACATCCTACCATCACATCAATACTGTGGAAGAATCGTTCATAAGCATCATGGCAACTCGTGCCTAGCCTCAGAGCCCTCAGAAGTACTGCTACTAGGCTGAAACAATAAAATATCCTTCAATAAAGCGACGATAATAATCCGATCAGCTATAACGTGAGAAACATCCCGTATCACATCCGTAGTACCATTGCGGTTCTTCAATTCTCGATTTATAACAAGCGGTTCGCGTCGCGTAAGATTGAGTAGGAATGAATTAAAGACATACGCCTCCAAGGATCAAATCGCACGATAAGGAATCAAGAAGGGAAGTACTCCTAACAGTCCTGCAGCCTCCCGAGGATAAGTACAGACGTCTCCGTACCGATCCGCGAGACTCTACTAGACTTGCTCATGACTCGTGAGACCCTAGGAACCTAGTGCTCTGATACCATGTTATCACGACCCAAAATCCACTAAGGGTCGTGATGGAACCGGACACTGCTGTCAGGCAAGCCAACTAAAATACTTAATTAGATTCCAATTTAGACAATTTTGAAAACCCAAATTTTCCTTCTAATTTCATAAGTAAAGATACAACTGCTTCAATTCAAATTAAATAATAAGCAATTAATACAATATTTTTCATAACCATCCCAGAACCCGGTGTCACAAGTGCATGAGCAATTTCTAAGAAATAATATAATACAACATCCGTCCGGAATACAGTGGATAGAAAGTAAATACAATATACTGGAAGGGACTATACTAGTTGCGGGCCGCCTCGAATAATGCAACTCACCTAGTCCCCAAATCATCCGTGCTGCTACGCCCAGTAGGCCACTAGAGTTACATATACATGTGCAACAAAAATGCACAGAAGTGTAGTATGAGTATGAAAACAACGTGTACTCAATGAGTATCCCGTCTAATCTCGAAGAAGTAGAGACGAGATGGTCGACTCCGACACTTACTAGTGGTCCAATAATGATGTCAACAATTCATTAAATCGTGGACTCTTATAAACATGATTTTTAATCCAATAGGAGGAAAGAAGTAAACAATTATTTCTTTTATAGGAAGTTTCCCAAAATTCCTTTTCATTATTTATCCAAATATTCTCAAGCCATGATGAGGCAATAACAACTTCAATAAGTTCAAGGCAGCAATACAAGCATGCGCAAATCATGCCGAGGCGTACGGCCCGCTCCAACAGAAAATAAACTGTGCACTGCCGAGGGTCGAATGGCGCGAACCATAGATGCATCTATTTAATCTATCGAGGCGTTCGGCCCATTCCAAAATNTATAAGCGTATTAGGTAATATTATATCGAATATGGCTTATATATATGTAATATATATAGTTACGCTGTACTATGCACTAAGTATAAGCGTATTAGGTAATATTATATCGAAAATGGCTTATATATATGGCTTATATATATATATACATATTATATTAAATTGAATTAAAAGTAATTTAATTTTTTTTAGATATAGCGACCAATGTTGGTCGCTATTCTGGTCAAACGGTCAGAACTTAGCGACCAATGTTGGTCGCTATTTTGGTCAAAATAGTCAATACATTTTGGCTACCAAAAATAGCGACCAAAGTTGGTCGCTTTCTGTAAATACAGTAGCTAAAAAACGGGTTTCCCCTCATATTCTCTTATTTTTTTCTCTCTCTTCTCTCTCTCACACCCAAACCCCCATCCCCTTCCGTCTCCCTCCATCGACGCCGCCGTCCCCCACCACCCTCCACCCGCCGGAGGCAGCAGCAGCTCCACCGCCACTGTCCAGGTAGGTTTCTCTCTTCTTTCCTTTTTTTTTCGAAATACACAGATTTATTTTAATTTTTTGTAGTTTGATTTGTAAAAATTAATTGTTCTTAGCTAAACGTAGGCTCAATGACTCTTGAAAGTGAATATCGCTCGCAATGGCCACCCTGATAGTTGAACCCTTCAATGGAAAATTTCGTATGCATTAAATCTAGGATAATTATTAGTAGCTAAAATAATTAGTTTTACCTACTAATTTGGGGAAAAATGGGTTGAAGAGAAGAAACCCTAAATTTTTAGGGTTTATGTTAAGTCTTGTTATGGTTGAAATTTTAGGATATGACTTGAACTTTTGTGGATATGAGTTGAACCTTTAGGATATGAATTGAACCTTTAGGATATGAATTGAAATTTTGGTTTATATATTGAAATTTTAGTTTATAAATTAAAATTTTAGGATATGACTTGAACTTTTGTGGATATGAGTTGAACCTTTAGGATATGAATTGGACTTTTAGTTTATGAATTGAAATTTTGGTTTATGTATTGGAATTTTAGTTTATAAATTGAAATTTTAGGATATGACTTGAACTTTTGTGGATATGAGTTGAACCTTTAGGATATGAATTGAATCTTTAGGATATGAATTGAAATTTTGGTTTATATATTGGAATTTTAGTTTATAAATTAAAATTTTAGGATATGACTTGAACTTTTGTGGATATGAGTTGAACCTTTAGGATATGAATTGAAATTTTGGTTTATGTATTGGAATTTTAGTTTATAAATTGAAACTTTAGGATATGACTTGAACTTTTGTGGATATGAGTTGAACCTTTAGGATATGAATTGAACCTTTAGGATATGAATTGAAATTTTGGTTTATGTATTAGAATTTTAGTATATAAATTGAAATTTTAGGATATGACTTGAACTTTTGTGGATATGAGTTGAACCTTTAGGATATGAATTGAAATTTTGGTTTATGTATTGGAATTTTAGTTTATAAATTGTAATTTTAGGATATGACTTGAACTTTTGTGGATATGAGTTGAACCTTTAGGATATGAATTGAACCTTTAGGATATGAATTGAAATTTTGGTTTATGTATTGAAATTTTAGTATATAAATTAAAATTTTAGGATATGACTTGAACTTTTGTGGATATGAGTTGAACCTTTAGGATATGAATTAAAATTTTGGTTTATGTATTGGAATTTTAGATTGCAGGAGGATTTTGTAGACGGGGTTGATGGTAATATTAGACATGCGATGGAACTTCCACCAAGAATAACTAAGACACAGTACCTGGCAGAGTGTGCCTTTAATTGTTCTTCTCATTAGCGACAACGATGATGAGAAGGCAAGAACATGTGTTTCAAATAGTTATGGTGTAGGTAGGAGTTTAACATTTCCTAAGTAGATAAAAGAAGAGGTAATAGAGGAATTCTATACTTCAATTTCCAAGAGAAAAAGGAGTTTAATTGGGAGCGACAAGGATGATGGTGATCGAATGTTTTCCGTTGGTCATAGCAGTTCCCATAAAACGGGGATCATAAGACTCTATGATGACAGAGATTATAGGAAGTTTTGTTCTCAACTTTCTCCCAAGTCTGATCCGTACAAGCTTAATTGGATGTTGGTCATATATTCTTCGGATTCAGACAATAATTTGACTGACAAAAGTATGGAAATGCTAATCAAAAGAATTAAAGCTAAAATGTTACAGAGAAAAATATTTTAGCTTTAATATAGCGACCAAAGTTGGTCGCTTAATATGATTAAAAATAAATAAAAATAAAACGTTATTTACATCTGGAGACCAACTTTGGTCGCCAAAATATATAATATTAAAATATTTGAGCGACCAAAGTTGGTCACTATATGCTTTGCCCGGAAAATTTGGTCCTTTTACCTGAGAGACCAATGTTGGTCGCTATTTAGCGACCAACTTTGGGCCCTAAGGTAAAGGGACCAGCTTAATATCGACAAGGCGTGGTTGGTCGCTTTTTGGTCGCTTTTTGGCCAATAAGCGACCAACGTTGGTCGCTTTTGCTGGTTGCTTTTTTCCGGAATTCTAGTAGTGAAATTTGTTAATGTAAAAAAAACCCTGCTTTTATGGAAAGTTTTGCTATTTGTTTTGGTTAACCGCAGATAATAACTAAAATAAGCTAGTTATTTATAGGCAAGGCTACACACATAACGTAGTATTTAACCGCGTTATGCTTTGCGTGTCAAAGATTCTTTCGGGTACAATACAACTTATCCAGGCGAGCAGCTTTTGCAGAACGACAGCTTTATCAGATTGACAAGACAATACACACAACGTGGTATGTAACCGTGCTATGCTTCGCGTGCTTATGATTCTTTACGGTACAATACAGCTTTTTCAGAAGACGGCTTTTCCAAAACACCACCTTTATCAGGTCGATAAGACAATACACATGGTATTCAGACTCAAGAAGTTCAAATAAAATTTATGACCAAACATTGGACCACTTGCTCTAAAGTTGTTTCGGAAGGTTTCACCCATGTTCACTAATCTAGATTGTTTAAAAAAGAAACAAAAGTGGTCCCAAACCTCCGTGGGGTTGGCCAAAACGCGTTACAAATTTCTTTGCATGGAACGACAAATATTTTTATTTTTATTTTTATTTTCATTGGTTTGGCTTAGAATAATACAACCAAAAGTTTACGTAGTACTTATAATTAGCGTATTACATAGAGAGGGATATTTCTATTGAAACTTATCCCTCTCTTCTTTTTATTTCTGAAATTGCAAAACACGATAATCCTAAAACAACACAAGACTTGACGGGCTAATGCATGCCTTACAAGCGCTTATTCTTTAGCAGAATTATTATTTGTTTGCACGTCGTTTCTTCCTTTCTGAGAGCAATTTCGCAAACCTGCGTACAAAGAACAGTATTGTGACGGAGCCAGGAATTTCACTAAAGGGATATAAAAATATATAAAAGTAAATACATAAAAAAATAAAAACTAAAGGAAGTCAACATACAATATATATACATAAAAATAAATTATTAACCTAACTAAACAATATAATTTTCTATCAAAGGGTAGCATAAGGTGGCTCCGCCAGTAGTTATAAGTAGCAACAAAATAGATTTATAATTCGAACTAAAGTTAAACTCTAAATAGATAAAGAATAATGGTGCGCAGATAATTATATGTTTTACCTCTTTAGAGCTTCCTCATTGGTTTCAGGATTCTTTTTGGAAACTGGTTTCTTCAACAAGTTTTCACCAACTTGTACCAATAAGTTCATATTAGCCTCAGTAGCATTATCCATTTGGGTAGTAGTGCCAATTAATGCAGTTTCCTGGTATTACATACAAAAGAGGGGAAATGGTAAAGAAATTTTTCACTCAAATTAATCAACTTCAAATAATCATATACTACCTCTATTCCAATTTATGTAACAGCATTTCATTTTTAGTCTACTGCCAAAAAAAAAAGAGGGCAACTTTCTAAGCTTCTGTTTGGCCATAATTTTAGGAATTTTTTTTCAAAAGTTTTTTGAAAACATTGTTTGTTCATAGAATATGATCAGTTTATGAAAATAAATCAAGTTCTCAAAAACTGGTTTAGGACAGTTTTGGGTGAAAACTTTTCTTGCATTCACAAAATTTTAACTTTTTTTCAAATAAAATGCATGTCCAAACACAACTCCAACTTCCAAAAATTATATTTCAACACAACTTCAGAAACTCTTATTGCATGTTTCAATCAAATCTATGTTCAAACGCTAGCTAAGTTTGTAACCATCTAACTTAAATTTCATATCTTATCCTTGATGAGAAGTTTTTATAATTCTACAAGTATATATGACTTGTTTTACATTATAAGTTTCAAAGTCTTCATTTCTCTCTTAATTAACTTCGTGCTAATTCAAATTTCGCCACATAAAATGAAACTGATGGAGTAATTAGGAGTGTTATGGTGTTTTTGAGCGAGATTGCCTTACTTCAATCCTGAGGTAATTCGTTTCAGCACCAAGAGCGCGATAGATGGTGGCGATGTAATAATCATTCATAATAACACTTGCTTCAGATAACATTTCAATAAGAGGGTTCGAATTATTATGAGATAGCCAGGAAACAAGACCCCAATTAGCTGCCTCCTCTGCTGTGTATGTCCAAGCAAAATCTGCATTAGTGCCAATCCCTAATGAGAGCAGCAGAATTTGTTTGAAGTCCAATGGCTTGATAGAAGCAAATGATGGATCCGCCTCCGCACTGTTGGCTACTGTGCTTAGTGCAATTAAGGCCTGTCAAACTGAGACAATACATGTAATCACGGCATCTGAAACAATAGCATCTGGTCTGGCTGGGAGTGCATAGAAACGGGCCTGACCATCACCTGATCTATCTCCCTCTCTGGGGAGACCCCTAGCTGACTGACCCCCACCCATAGCTGCCTGGGTGGGTGGTGAAGTAACTGGAGCTGAAGTCGAGGGCTGACCCCTCTGCTGAGATGGACCCCCAAGAAGACGAGGACACTGTATCCTCATATGCCCAAACTCTCCACACTCATAAAAACTCCCTGGTGCAGGGGACGGGGACTGAAGGGAACCCCTAGCATCGGGATGCCTAGTAGAAGGACGTGGCATAGAAGAGCCCTGAACTAATGGAGCACGGGACGAAATCTGGGCTGGAAGGGCACTAAGTGACGAATGGCCCTGATGAGAACTGTGAGAACCATGGCCCGATGATTCCCCACGATGAACTGGGCGACCTGACTGAGCATGCCTGAGTGGACGGCCTCTGCCGTGCTGAAACTGACCTCTCAAAGGAACTCCAGCAAAGCTACCAGATCCCCGAGCCCTCTTGGCCTCCCTCTCATCTCGCTCCTGGCGACGAACTGACTCAATCTCTCGGGCAATATCGACAACCTACTCAAAAGTAGCACCTGACACCCTCTCTCTGGTCATGAGAATCCGAAGCTGATATGTGAGGCCATCCACGAACCTCCTGATCCTCTCTCTATCCGTAGGAACCAACCAAACAGCATGACGAGCTAACTCCGAGAACCTCATCTCATACTGCATCACAGTCATATCATCCTGACGCAACTGCTCGAACTACCTGANGTTACAACTTTCCTCCATATTAAAAAAGGAATGATACAATAGTCTTCCTTGCAACCTCCTCCTATTCAATATTTTCTTGTGATGAATGAAAATTCTGGTGGCGAAGCCTCTATTAAGGTATAATTATCTACTTTCCTACTCAATATATTTTTTATTGTACATTGAGATGAGAATATGTTGGTTTCTCATTTGATATGACCCATCAGTGCCTTTACAATAGAAAGAAATTATTGGAGGAGAGGAAGTGACTATGGAAGCTCAGATGGAAAAGCTCATGGACGGTTTGAAGCTTTCATGTTTGGTTGGTGTTTAGATTTTTGAGGTTTTTCTATTTAAGTTTCAATTTGTTTTTTTAATTTTTTCTATCACGGGATTTATATTTATTTTTCTCAACTTGTGTCATAGTCGTCGAAGGTAATTATGAGAGCATCAAGGTCCAAGGAACAAGAGGACTTGGTCCTTGCACAAGAACTGCGGATGCAACTCGATATCCTTCAAGAGACGATATGACACAATTGGCGCCATCTGTTTTTTTTCCATAATATTTGTCTCAAAAAACAAGAAATTCTTCGTATGAAGTTTGAACAGTTGTAATGGGTAATTTATTCATTGTTTTAGTTCATAGAAGAATCACGACAATATGTTTATTACTAAAAATATGAATTTTCTTTTACAAAAATTAAGAAATTATAAATTAGTCTTGTCTAAATTTACAATTTAAAATTGTAGCATAACAAGTTTGGAGTACTTGGTTAGACATCTTTTATTCGCCACTAATTATATGAAGAAAATATCTTGAAATATTGTAAAAAAGAAAGGGGAACAAGAATCCTAAAATATTTGGTTAACGTCTTTACTCCACACTAATAATGTGAAAAGGGAAAAAGGTTGTCTTTGATATGATCTTGCAGGATAAAAGAAAGAACAAAAAGGAACCATCCGTGTTTATGATAAATTCCAGATAGGAATGATTTTCTCCTTCTCATTTTTCGAATTCAATGCTTCAAAGTTCGGACTTAGAGCTCTTTTTTTTTGTCTAAAGGATTACTTTCGTAGAAATTTTAGGATGAAGAAGAAAAATTTTAAATTTTTTTTTTTGTAGAGAATCTGGAGAAGAAAGTGGATATTGTGGACATTAAGGAGGAGCATAGTTTAATATTTTTTGGAGTAACCCAGAAAATAGGGAAAAAATGGACGGAAAGAGAAGAAAAAAGAAAGGTCAATTGAGGAAGTACCGATAGTAAAGAAGGAGAAAAGAAAAATATTAAGAAAAATTGAGAGGGAAAAAATTACTTTCCGAAAATGAGAGCTTATGTAGGGGATGAAAAATTTAGGGGGATTATAGAGTAGAATATGAATAGAAAGAAAAAGAAGAAAAGAAAATTTTGGAATAGCAAAAGAAAGAAAATCAAATATTCATGTACTATGTATTTAATATATACGGTCATATTTATAGCGAAATGTTGTTATAGAGAATATATGAAAAATCATATCCAAAGAAAACTATGACAGGTTTGTAAAATAATGTTATAAAGAATGGTTATAGAGAGAATCATGTGTTAAACAACATATTCACCATATTCCTCCAAAAAATTATTTTCCTTTTTATGAGAAAATAAATAATGAAAAATGCAGTTCATTCAGCTTTGTTTGTGTGTGGGAGCATATACAATCAATATATAGAATAAAAAATTTGCCTGCATCTGCATAAAAAAATTATTTCTAAATTTATCTTTCACCAATTCTAAAGTGAGCAAAATTCCTCAGAAAATATCTCTTTTTTTTTTCCGTTTCATGAGAAAAGACAACTCATGAAAAATGCAGTTCATGTGTTCGTGAGCACATATACGTCAATATATGGAACTAAATTATGCCTGCATATACATGACATATTTATTTCTTCTATTTTGACAAAATTTATATGTTATACATTAATTCCAAATTCATTTATGTCTTTTATAACTGCGCGAAGCGCGGACAAATTTACTAGTAACATAATAGTTCAGGGACAAAAATTACTATTTTTCCTTTCTTTTTATGTTGTTTTGGCTTAGAAGGATGATTTTATTAAGTTAACATACAACCAAAAGGTTACATAGTCCTTGGCATATCACATAGAGGGATATTTCTATAGAAATTTATCCCTCAACCTTACCAAAGCTTATTCTTTATTAGCATAATAAGTACCAATAACACTCAAAATCTTAGAATTATTCACAATGAGTATTCACAAGTAGGGTATTCAAAATCACCATACGAAGCTACTGGAACCATCCAAACTACATTTCGAAGTCGTCCCTTTCTTCATAAAATCATTGTGGGATTTAGCACATGAATGCTCAATGAGATTTTGTTCAATCTCCTTGATTTGTTCATCATTGGTGATTTGGAATAGCCTTGGAATTTCAGAATAAGGTTTGAACTGCTTCTTGAAGGTTATTCCATTAGCCCTGATCTGGAGTTGATCTTTTAGTTGTCTGAAAATGTCGAATCCAACAATAAGATCATATAAAAGTCAAACTCCGGTCAACTCTTTCAACTTAAGCCTTCAACCTTGAGACTAAGTGTCCTAATTCACTCCGAAACACCCACGAAATCAAACCAACTACCCCGACAAGTAACCAGAAATGAACATAGAAGAAGCAGTAAATAGGGGAATAGGGCTACAATAGACAAAACGATCGACCGGATCATTATAATGGAGTAATGGCAATAAGTAAGAACAACAACAAGATAAAAATATGATCGAATCTAAGAAAGCAGTTAGACTCTAGTAGCATCTCTCCAGTAAGAATGATTGGAGGCTTCAGGAAATGATTCAGACTTATTGGGCAAGTGAGGCATTGTGTCATTGTATCGTTGAAGAGAAAGAAATTGGGTCTTCCATTTCTTAGTAGGAGTGCATATCTCTCATATGAGAAGGAGTCAAGGAGAGCCACTTCCTTGATAGTATATTAATGAGTAGGACTGGAAGCCATTGAGTAGTCTTTTCTAGAGTAGTCATAGAAAGAGAATCGAGGGGTCTGCAGGCATGAGTGCTCAGGTACGATATCAATCTAAATTTCTTGCAATCTTTTTCTGTTGTACTTGTTTTAACGAAAAAAGAATAAAAAATGTCCCGAAGAGCGGAACGGCGGTCCAGCTACTTCCCCCCCTCCCCCCCACCATTCTGAGTGGGAGTTCGGATCTATGTTCAAATGAGGGGTAGTAATAGCAATATATGAATTAAAATTTGCATAAAACGACAAATTTTTTTATTTTTATTTTCATTGGTTTGGCTTAGAATAACACAACCAAAAGTTTACATAGTCCTATAATTAGCTTATTACATAGAGAGTGATATTTCTATTGAAACTTATTCCTCTCTTCTTTTTATTTCTGAAATTGAAAAACACGATTATTCTAAAACAACACAAGACTTGACGGCCTAATGCATGCCTTACAAGCGCTTATTCATTATTAGCATAATTATTAGGCAGAATGGCCTAAATGGCACCTATACTTGTGCCACTTTATCATGCCGGTCCCCAAACTTAACAATTTGCCAATTGAACCCTTATACTCCTTCAAACCGTATATAATAAACGCTTATGACAGGAGACTACAATCTCCTCCACGTTGGCTGCCACGTCAGAAAATAACAATTTGTAGATGCCATGTCACATGGTAAATTAAAAATAATTAAAATAAAAAATAAAAATAAAATTCAAACATAAAAATCATCATGCTTTTCCCGTTTCCTCCGACCACCGGGAATTCTCACCGGTGAGTTCTTTCTCGTCTCCAATTACCCCGTGCCTTCTCTCACCTGTGTATGCCCCAATCTAGAAATTGATTACAAAGAGCGAAACAAAATAGAATTTTGATTACAATTACTTAGGTAACAAAAACTAGAAATTGGGGTTTGGGGAATTTGAGGAGTGAAATTTAAGGAGTGATTATCCAAATATGTGTTATATATATACAGAGAGAAATAAAATCGAATTTTGACCTAATATTACAGAAAGAAGGGGCTGTACCATTCCATACCTTAGCCTTTCTCTCACCTTCCCCTCTTTTCTTCATCTTCTGCCACATCTCCTCTTCTTCTTCCCTTTTCCTCTTTCTTTGTTTCTTTGCATACAAAATTCTTCTTCCTCTTTCTAATTTTCTGCTCATAATTGCTATGAGAAAAACAAAACAATAAAAAAACAAGATCAAATGGGTCGAGGCAAGAATCGGGCTTCCTAAGTGGTTTCTTGTAAGTTATTTTTAGTGATCAAACTTATATGTTGGTCCTGTTGGATGTTAGTTGTGGGAATTACAGCAATGATTTGCACTAAGGAATATGATTTAAAATTTGATTAAATCTCAGATCAGTGTTAAATCAAATTCACTGTTTACACTCGCTTTATACGCGTATATTTTACACATTTTGTCCAACTCAGCTGATTCAATGCCACATAAGCTTGGTCAATGGTCATAAGCGTTTATTATATACGATTTGAAGGAGTGTAAGTGTTCAATTGACAAATTGTTAGGTTTGGGGACCGGCACGACAAAGTGGCACAAGTATATGTGCCATTTAGGCCATTCTGCCTAATTATTATTATGAGTCGGCTTTGTTTGCCCGTCGTTTCTTCCTTTCTGAGAGCAATTTGGCAAACCTGCGTACAAATTAGGACAGTGTTATAAGTAGCAATAAAATAGATTTATAATTCGAACTAAAGCTAGAATCTAAATAGATAAAGAATAATGGTGCGTAGATAATTATATGTTTTACCTCTTTAGAGCTTCCTCATTGGTTTCAGGATTCTCTTTGGAAACTGGTTTCTTCAACAAGTTTTCACCAACTTGTACCAATAAGTTCATATTAGCCTCTGTAGCATTATCCATTTGGGTAGTAGTGCAGTTAATGCATTTTCCTGGTACACGTAAAAAATAATTAATTATTCTTTTTGTTCCAATTTATGTGACAATATTTATTTCTTAGTCTGTTCTAAGAGATGACATTTTTTTTTAATTTTTTAAATAATTTAACTTACAAATATTCATAAGATATTTTAAACCACAAATTTCAAAAATCTTCTTTTCCTTTTTAAATTCAATAGTAATTCAAACTTTTCAAACATAAATTGATACGGAGGAAGTACTTAAGGTTAATGTGCTTTAGTGGTTCATAAATAAAATGAGGGGAATTAATGGTGAAGAAAAAAATTTCACTCCTTTATTTGAGTAGAAAACAAGATAACAATGCGGAAATGTGGATGCATGAGATTTTCACGCTTGGTTCGAGTTCTAAGAATTGAGAAATTTGGTGAGTTTCACTTTAATGTATGTTGTGTGAATTCAAACTCGAAATGATGCACCATTTTGAACCACTTTTAATCCCGTTAAATTTTTTTTCTTCTTTTTTTGGAAAAATAGCTTCGCATTAGAATTAAAAACACTCATCAGAATTTTGAAGCACGAGCAATTCTGATGATCACTAGAATTTTCAGAGCCAGAATTTTGAAGCAACAGAAATTCTAGCGATTTTCACCAGAATGCTGAAAAATTCTGGTGACATGTCAGGATTTGTGGCCAAATCCTAATAATCAGCATAATGCTGAAATTCTACACAGCATGTTTTAAATTCTGGTGATCGGAAAAAATCCTGTCCAACATATTTTAAAATTCTGATATGGGGATATTTCTCAAAACTTCTTTTATTGGGGGTCAAAAAACCAATAGTGGCACAAAAGTGTTCTATTTTTCGTTATTCTCCCGAATTCGGTCAATGAGTACCTAAAAAAAAGCGAGATAGTTATACTTGCAACGATCCCTTACTCGTAAATCAATCAACTTGAAATAATCATATAATTAGGAGTGTAACGGTATTTTTGAGCGAGATTGCCTTACTTCAATCCTGAGGTAATTCGTTTCAGCAACAAGAGCACGGTAGATGGTCGAGATGTAATAATCATTCATGATAGCATTAGCTGCATATGACATTTCACGAAGAGGATTCGAATTATTATTAAATAGCCAGTAAACAAGACCCCAATTAGCTGCCTCCTCTGCTGTGTATTTCCCAGCAAAATCAGCAGTAGTGCCTGTCCCTAATGAGAGCAGCAGAATTTGTTTGACGTCCAATGGCTTGATTGAAGCAAATGATGGATCTGCTTCCACACTGTTGGTTACTGTACTTAGGGCAATTAAGGCCTGTCAACCATTGTACATGTATGCACTAATTAACATTTATAATCAATTAGAAGTTACTCGTCATTTTAAATGTTCATTAATTACTATATTTGTTTTTTGTGACAAAAGGAAATTTTTTATGTGTTAATTTGCATTGTTACAAAAGTGGGCGCTACTATTACTAAAGCATGCTATATCCTAGCTAGTTAGACATATAGTCCTCCCTCCGTTTCTTTTTAGTTGTCCACTTTTGACTTCGCAATATATTTTAAAAAAAAATGAAATATATATTTTACAATTTTATCAATAAATATGATAGCATTTCAAAAAGTCTTGGGAAATGATTTGAAAAATGAGTAGTTAATGATTAAGAGTAAAACAAGGGAAAAAGGATTGGCTGTATCTTGATTTGCTAAAATGGACATAGTAGAAAGTAAAAGCAAACGGAGGGAGAATAAATTTCTATATATAAACAACAACAACAATAATAAACCTAATATAACCCCACAAGTTAGGAAAACTGTTTCCGATAAACTCCCCCTGCTCAAAAAAAATGAAAAGAAAGCGGTAGTAACAAGCATCATGACACACTACATTATATGATAATCAAAGACCAATTATGATTATTAAAGTAGAGTTAATGAACATGCATGTTGAATAAATCATGTGAAATAATCCACACTAACTAAACAGATCCCTAGATAAATTCTCTTAAAATATCTTACAAAAGAAGATTCAGAAATTAAGATGATTTATACGAGGGAATGTACCGGATTGACAGCAACAACACCACCATCAATAAGATTGAATTCATACTTATTTCCTTTACCATCATCATTCTCAAAGTAATATGGAGGAAAATAAGTTGGAGCAGCAGCGGTACCATAGCATATGTCAGACATCTTAGCATCCAGATGAGGTGAGTTTGCTATCTGTATTTGTTTCAAAATAAAGAATAATTACTAACGGCAATATTTACAATTACATATATATCCAGATTATATGATTTATGTCAAGACTTACCTCCGATTTGGTGAATATTATTGGCTGAAGTTTCTTCATGTCAAAAGTTGGAATGACAACATTTGTTAAAGTCTGATGCAAACGAGTCTCTCCCAACTTATCTTGCAGAACTTTGTGAAGATATTTTCCATCATATTTGGGAGCCCAAAAGGGAGGCTTGGCACTGCAAATGAAACCAAATATGTTTTATTACACTATAAAGCGGGGAAGGTAAAAAAGAGCTTTGAAAATTAATTTTTTTCTTTTTGGTAGGGAAAACATTTGTTCTCCAATTTTCTAGAAAATATTTTGCTTCGTACCAAACACATCCTTATCCTTAAAGTAGAAATGTTAAATATATAAAAACTATATATACCCAGGTGGAAAAATCTTAGGGCCATGCTCGAAGTAAAAGGATACAATATCTTTGGCAGCAGAGAAGGGACGGCCCTTTTCATTTGGAGCACTTATCATAGTGGTCAATATGCCACCTGTACTTGTCCCCGCGATCACATCAAAGTAATCTGCAAGTCTTGCATCTTCATCATTGTCTAATTCCTGACTCAAAAACAATCATTCATTAATCAAGAAAGCATAAGCATAAGTAATAAAAAGAAAAACGGTAAAGAACAACAGTAAGAATCCATAAAAAATATATTTACAGTGTACCTGGAGTTGGCTTTCCAGAAAAGAAAGAACAGTAGCAGGGATGATGCCTTTAATGCCACCTCCATCAATGCTAAGAATAGTCACCATTTCTCCCACCACAGAGGATGTTGATCCAGTAGTTGTTAGTACCAAAAGAAATAAAATAAAAAAAGATCCAGTTATTGCCATTTTAGATAATTACAGTACCTTTATTGGACTACAAAAATTGCAAATAACAATTAATAGCTCAAGTATTAAGATTTTCTTGGTGCTTTGAGCATCAAACAAGAAGGGTTATATAACCATGTAAACAGTGTAACGTCTCGTGGACCACTATAGTTCATGTATTAAGAGGTTAACGTTTTTTTTTTAAAATGTCTTTTGGCAAACATGAAGATGACTGATGACAAACATGAAGATGATTGATGACAAACATGAAGAAGACTGATGACTGTCTTTTTGATTAAAAGTTAGTCTTTTTATTTATAAAATTGCAAATAGAAAGAATTTGCACATGCCACATTCACGAGCGTATCTAAGGGGGTTTCAGGGGCATGTGAACACATGCTCCCCTCACTAGATCAGGTATAGTAATGTTATACCTTTTCAAAATACTTAAATATATATATGTGTACATCTAAGTTATTTCTACGTGTATATATGGCCCAATAAGATTATGCCCATAATTAATATTTAATTAATGAGCAAATCTCGTCCGTCCGATCGGTTACTTGATGGACATACCTGATTAAATAAGAACCTCTATAAATTAGTCCTCTCCCCATCCATTAGGGTTATTGTATTTTTATTGTTTTCTTTCTTCCATCACTAAAGGCGGCGGTAACATAAAATTAGAGCAAGGGGTGAGAAACTAATTTACCAATTAACGCTTTCGCTTCAAGATAATGGATTCCGCTTCAGGTATGTTTTCTATGACGATTACATATAAGATTATCATGTTCAAGATCCTGGTATAAAATTATAGTTTACGCTTACATGTGGTATCATGAGCCTGGATTGCTTGAACAGATAATCTTCGTCACAACTAATTATGAATGCGTAGTTGTTTAGACATCATGTGCTGCCTTCGGCAATTATGAATCATAGTTTAAATAAATTATCATGATCGTTAAATTCTGTTTGTGGAAAATAATGCTGAACTCTAATTCTTTAATTACTTTTAAGATTATGGAGCAATTAGAAAAAGGGAGTAATTGACAAAAAATATGAAAGAGTTTGGTCTCTACTTTTCGAGAACGACAACCTTTGAAGTTTTGTGCTTTTGTGGAATTATAAATGTAAGTTAGGCATAAATCGTATGTTTTCATGTAGCAGTGTCATGACCCGGATTTCCCACAATCGGGGATCGTGA